TTTAGCTCTAGCTTGTCTTCTTTTAAAGCAAACTTTTGCAGCGTAAGAAACATGTTAGACAAATTTCATACTTCATTAGCTCGAGTTACTAAGATCATGGGCAGTTGGCTTAAAGAAACCTACATTGTAAGTAGTTACATCAGAGGTTACGGAATAATTTAACAGAAAGAATCTCTAAAACACGCCGTGTATTTCCAGCCAGAGGACAATCATGAAACAAGCAGTCATACCTGGAAACTTCAACAGAAGATATAAGAGAAGCCCATACGATTCTGGCGTCTTGATTTACTAATTCACTGCTATCACGTCTATACTCTTCAATCGACTGGTGATGTCTGGACTCGAAGTAGTTTACCGTCGTTTCTTTCAGTTTTGGCTCATTTTCCCCAACCAAAATTATCAGTCACGCTCAAAAGAATATAATTTCAACTGATGCTGACATCGCACACTTCCTCTGAAGAAGATAAGATTCTCTATCTTCGAAAATTTGCTCATCGATCGCATTAAGAACCACAACGAAGGTCCTCAGCTGCCTGAAGATACCGCTGACTAGAATGCGTTTTATCGCAAGTTGTGAGAACGTTGTCCCCGGGTTCCAGACCTCGCCAATTCTTCCCTTCCCTCCCCATCCCCCGGACTGGTCTCTTCATTCCCTTGAAGAAACTCTCCTACAGCCAGTGCTGAAGAGTTTTATTACAGTTTTTATTTTTATGAGGGGCTAGAAAATAAATCAACATGAGCTCCGCTTTTAGGCTTGGCTAAATCTATATATTAAAGAGATGTCTGTGACAGTCCATGACGAATAAACTGACCATACACAATTCAAACCTTTCCTTCTCCATGCCAAATTACCTATTACATCTAATTCTCCTCTACATTCCCCAATACGGAGGACTGACGACCTGGAAATAAAAGACAAATATCACAGGTTCACGGTGCAAAAATAACAAACTTCTCAAATGATGTACCGTAGATGAACATGTCAAAGTTCACGAGTTGGGCGACGTGTAGCGAGAGTGGGGGTATGGAAATAATTAAACCAAGGGTAATAGAGGTGGTAATGAAATTCTCCATCACCAGACAACAATGACAAAGTTCATCTAACCTTTATATAGGTGGAGAAAAATCTTGCCTACGTTATTGTCTCGAATCTCGAATTTCTCTTGGATTTAAGCTGGAGCCCTGAAATCTCAAAATTCTACTTCAGCCTTTTTCTATTCCCTCGTGCTAAAAACACTTGTTTCTCACAAATCCTTGACCATTCTGAATACAATATCACTACCAGCCCACTTACACCGAACTCAAACGGTAGTTTTGGTATGGAATTACGTTGCATAACAGAAACACCGTTCTAAAACATCGTGAAAGCTTTATTTCATGAAAAAAAAAAATTGTACATACAAACCTTTTGATGTCACAAGCACCATTAGAATCGATGACTGCTTTTAAATTGGTATACGAATATCTCGCCACAGCATTTGGCGTGAAATGGCTGAAATGGCTTCTACCAAGAAAGGATGAATTCTTGCTGCTATTGCTGTGCTGGGATGTTTTATCCTCGAAAAGTATTCCTAGGAGATTCTCTGGCAAAGTGTTAACCTTCTCATTTCACAAAGGATTTCCTGTTATTATAGCCAACAAATCTTTTTTTCTTCATATTTTGCATTTTTTGTATAACGCAACTTTTTAGCCGTATATCAACATTTTAATGGAATATACATGTATCCACATTATTTCCTTTTCATCAAAATTTGATCTTTTTTATCTCCATTTTCAATTGTCGCCACGGATATCTCAGAAAATGCAGTGACCATGCGCAACTGCTTTACCATGAATGGAAATGTTAAAGAAATCTCCAACAATGAACCTGACTCTGTGACCCGTTTACGAAATTCACGGCACTTTAAAAAGAAACTGCAAAATTACTGTCTCGCATTTCAGAACTCGCCAGTAATGTGTGGCTGAGTTTAGGCTGAACAGCCATACTGAAAAAGAAAAAACACCAACTTAATGTTAGAAGATGAGGTTTAAAGATA